TAAAAACTACTGTCACAGAGACAATGCACTTAGCACTTTGACCTAAAGCAGTTTATTGTTATATTTATATACATACAGAAAACACCAGTCAAAAATCCAGATGTTTGCTGAACATGTTCAAAATATGAATTGAAAGGGAAAGAAATGTGAGTCATTGATTGGCTCTTTCCTATTTATATCTGAGAGTAAAGCACAATACAACATGGTCAATGATATAGGGATATAGCAGTATTATAAATATTTGGAGGATTGTTTTTTCTATTTCTGTGAAGAATATCATTGGTGTTCTGATGGGGATTGCATTGAATTTGTAGATCACTTTGGGTAGAATGGACATTTTCACAATGTTGATTCTTCCAATCCAAGAGCATGGAATGTCTTTCCACTTTTTTGTGTCCTGTTTAATTTCTTTCAGTAGTGACTTGTGGTTCTCATTGCAGAGATTTTTCACCTCCTTGGTTAATTGATTCCTAGGTATTTTATGTTTTTGTTGACTATTGTAAATGGGCTTGTTTTCTAGATTCCTTTTTCTGCTAGTTTGTTATTGGAGAATAAAAATGCTACTATGCTGTGGGTATTGATTTTGTATTCTGCAACATTACTGAAATTGATTATCAGCTTTAAGAGATTTTTGGTTGAGTCTTTAGGATTTTCCATATATAGGATAATGACATCTGCAAACAGGGACAATTTGACTTCATCTTTTCCAATCAGGATGCACTTTATTTCTTTCTCTTGCCTGACTGCTCTGACTAGTACTTCTAACACTGTAAATAGGAGTGGTAAGTGTGGGCATCCTTGCTCTTTAGAAGCCATGGCTCAACTAAATACATTTGTTTTTTCACTTTCATAGGAGTAACACTGTAAATACATAGCCACAATTTTAATGTTCAATCTCCAATGATAGTGAACAGAGCTTGGTTGGTCTTTGTAACAAGGCACCTAGATGATATGGCTAGATATAAGCTGCAGCACTTTCTATATGGCCACAAGAAAATCTTCACTTTTCTCTGGGTAAGAATGGAAAATTTTGCATGAACTGTTACTGTTTCATCACTTTCCAATATGGTTTTTATTAATAACAACATTTTTCCCCCAGTGCATTGTTTGATGCCTTTTTTTTCCTTTCCATGATGCTGTTTTGTATTTGATATTATAAATTCAGGTGCCCCCATATATACATGAAAATATAGTTTTCTTTCAAAAATTTATAAAAACTTTGAGATTAGTTATTTCCTAGAATATCATGTGCCTGGGGTTAGCAACCACAGAGTATAGGCATCCTGTCTCTGTGGCAGCTAGAGCATATGAAGAGAGAACCTCAGTAGAAACCCTGTAATTTGTTGCTTTGCTTTGACTCTCACCAGACTCTTGCCCTTTACCCCTCCAGAAAGTCACTAGGTGAGCTTTCTGACCCCCTATTATCAAATATCACTCATATGCTCACATGTTCACCAGACATTCAGAATTAAGTACAAATTCCTTAGTATAGTTTTCAAGACCCTTCACAATGCAACTCTGGCCGAATTTTCAGCCATATTTTGTGCCAAGCTCTCATGTGGTCTATGATACTTCCATCCCTCCAGACATACAACCACTTGAAAAATTTGAGCACCTGAAATTTTCATGGAAAGAACTAAGTGCTTGAGGTACACTAATGCATAATAGATATGCTTCCAGATAAAGACAAGTGAAGAGGTAGTTACAACAGTGGTGGATATATGGGGTTCTATAGAAGCAATATCAGGGGCAGCTAACACAGACTTGGATGGAGTGCAATGGACACAGATGACTTCCAAGTAAAATTACTATATAAGCAGAGACCCAAAGGATAAATAGGAGTTAGTCAGCCAAGCATTATAGTAGTGACTAGTACTCTAGGAGAGGAAAGAGTCTTCCCAATGTCTTGCAGATAGGAAAACATCCAAACAGCCAGAAAAATTTTGAGATGGATGA